CAGGAGTGACTAGAAATAAGTCGCAAGCTGGCAGAGGGTAGATTCAGACTAGACATCAGGAGGCACTACTTCACTGTCAGGGCAGCTAGGATCTGGAACCAACTTCCAAGCGAAGTGGTGCTGGCTCCTTCCCTGGGGGTCTTTAAGATGAGGCTAGACAATCACCTTGCTGGGGTCATTTGACCCCAGTACTCTTTCCTGCCATGGCAGGAGGTCGGTCTCAATGATCTGCTCAGGTCCCTTCCGACCCTACCAACTACGAAACAAGTTCAAAGGCTGTACCATATAGAAGGGGCAATATGAAAGAAGTCTTGTATTAAAAGCTGACTGTTAAAAGTAGAAGCCTTGACAAGCAGGAAACTGGAGAAGAGGGTGTAAAACTAAATGGGGTTTTGTACATGGAGAGAGGCTAAATAACAGGACTTCAGCCAGGTGATAGTGCCTGGTTTTTGATAGCAGAAGAGCCATATGGACATTTTTTTTAAGTGGGACTGGTGTGGCCAAACAGGGGAATATTGTTGTTTGAGTAGTAAATGGATAGTTTTTCAGGGATTCCAGAGTCCAGTAGTATAGGTAGAAGTATGGGTATGGAAAGAAAGTATGAGCATCACAATATTGAGTTTTGAAGAAGCTTTGAATGTGGCCTAGATATGTGGGACAGGAGCAGTAGGTCTAAATAGCCTTTAGGTTGCAGGCTGGACTGAAGAGTTGCATCTTGATTATCCGTTTAGAAATGTTCCACTTTTTGGTCCTAGTACTACCTCAGAACCATCAGCTAACAGTTAATTGAAGGCGTGGAGAATACAGGTGGTGGTACAGTCAAGGAAGTACACTTCTAATAGAGTTAACAAAGTTCATAATACATTAGTTTAACATAGCATAAAATAACTTTTATATTGTTGCCTTTTATTAGATCAGTAAATTGGCAAATGTACTAAGAGCAGTGCCCTATACCTTCTTAAGATTGTGTTGTTTATGCTACAACAGCAATGCCTCCTTGATTTTTATTATTATTATTTTCAGTACCTAAATATTTAGCTTCTGTATCTGAATACAGAAGCTATCTTCCTTATTCCATTTTAGAAATATTGCTGAAATAACATTGCTGTCAGCTGCTACCTAGTAGGCAGTTTCTATTGTATATCAGGTCCTTTTTACCTGAAAAGAAAAGAAAGCTCTGCACTTCTTCCGGAATCTGTTTTCTAACAAGAATGAATAGACACTAGTTTTGTTTTTCATTTATATAAACACCTTGGGCAGGGGGTTGGACCCAGTGATCTTGTGAGGTCCTGGAATAATCTGTTTGATTCAAGTCTTAGACACAGCATCCACAAGTAATTTTTAAAGGGGGCTGTTTAGAACAAACAACTTTAGGTTCTGCTGTTTGAGAGGGAAGAGGAGCTTGCATGGTCATGTCAAGTGTCCTTTGGGAATAGCCTGTGTGTTGTGGCTATCGTATCTAACACACAATGATGTGTCTCTTCTGAAGTATAGAAGTTCAAATTTTAAGAATTATTGACCTAATAGAGTTGCACTTAATTTGGTGTTTAGTAAGACAGTAGCGGCCAGCTAGATCATAGTATCTAGAGGCACGTACATAGTTGTCCTCTACTAAAAGATTGAGCTCATAATTACTTCTGAATTAAAAATCATGCACCTGGGTTTGTCATGCTGTACAATTTGAAACACTTTTTTTGCATTCACGAAGCAATAGTTCAGCTCTTGCTGCTGTAACAGATGCGTTTTAGGTGTAAAATAAAAGGCTAGTTTTTAATATTTTACTAACTAAATATATAAGTATATAATTATTAAGATATTATATATTGATATATAAAATTATGTATAATATTTATACCTTTTCCTTTTAGCCCCGGGTGGTACTCTGGCAGATGACATGATGCGCACAGATGTTTGTGTATTTGCAGCACAAGAAGACCTAGAAACCATGCAAGCATTTGCTCAGGTTAGTTCTCAAACATGTACTTTTAAACATACTTACTCTGAGCTTATGTGGCATGGTACACTTGTTATTAACTGGCTACCGTTTTGGGATCACTGAGGTAAAATGCATTTTTGGTGCTAATTTAGAAAATGGCCTTACACATATAGCACAAATACAATTGAATTCCAGTGGGCTAGAGGGCTGTCTCTAAAAAAAAAAAAAAAAAAAAAAAAAAAAACCCAAGGCCCCAAGGAAATAAAAACCAAAAAAAAAGCCTTCCAGGACCTCGCTTGAAGGCAGGTGCCTTTGCGGGAT